AAAAGAATTATTGAAAAGACATACACAAATATTTTTTCCACATTTATTTACATATTTACCATCATTACGCCTAATTGAAGATAATCGTTTAACTATAAATTTAATTGAGATATATAATGATCGGCTAATGCTATCAATAAAAAAACATTATGGATTCTTAGATGATAATAATGATAACTTATTGAATATTTATCAAGTAATACAAAATGAATATTTTACTAACAAACAATTACTACATCAATGGACATTAAACGAATATTCTAATGCAACTGGCTATTTTTTATTTCGAAATTTTTTTATTATATCAATAGGTTTTTATTCAATATTAAATTATATATTTGGTTTTAATATGTATACAAATAATCAATTAAATATACAACTTTCAATAGGAAATATTAATCCATTATACCTTAAATTATAATATGATTCAAATAAACAAGAAGAAAATATTTATTTAACACCAAATATTGATACATCTATTAACTGTTTTGATAAAATGGGACCACTAACAGGAACGATTCTAGCAACATTAACAGCATTAGCACAACCTAAACATCAAATTGTTGAATATTTAAAGATTTTCTATAAAGAAGATATACATATAAAAGTAAATATTCAATAAAAATAATTGTATTAGATAGATGAGAATCAGTATGAAAAGAAAACTACGATTGATAGTTAAAAAGTAAAATTGACATAGAGAATGTTTGATTAATACAGTACTTATGAAATAGATTAGAAATGAGATGATTACTATTGAACTATAAATTTCATCAATTTAATCTTATCAAAAAAAAATAGGATAAATATTTATAATTAATATATTTTAGCAACCAGAACTAATACAGAAAGAATGTGTTGACCTAGTTGAACATATTGCTCATCAATTGGAAACAAAATTGAATCGTATGTTTTTCGTACATATATTCTTAATTCAAGATTTATTTTCATTTTCATTTTAGAATTTACTAATTTTGATGTATCGAAAACAATAGTTTCACAACTTGTGCAAAAATCTACAGATATCAATCAACTTTCACGTCTTAATCCGCTTTATTATCCTTGGTTATAAACCATC